CCCCAAAACCCCAAAACCCCAAAACCCCATAATATTGAATATCTAAATAAACATTGATAATTCAAATTTAAAAATAATCAATAACTATGAAAGACGCAATCAACTCCAAAAATTCATAAGAGATTAATAAATATGATACATTTCAAGATAACCTCATCGCTTCTGATATAGAACAAACACCATAAATTAGCAGTGAATAAAAAAGAATAATCTTTGCTCTTATTATATCTACCTTCATTGCCGTAGGATAATATGGAAGCGTTAGTGCCTTTTTAATACCATTCAAAGTTAAAAATCATCCTTTGATAACTGACTTTTAAGCAGGATTTTTAATAGCGTAAATATCAATATCAATGTTGAATGTTATAGAATTTTTGAGGTGGGATGCTTATTTTCCTATTTATCTGTAACATATGCAATAGCCTTATTTGGAAGGAAAAATACAATATTATTAGCGCTCTCGCAGAGTTTTCTAGCTTTGATCGGACTTGGCTTTAGTTCCTACATTTAGGATGAGTAAAATAGCTAATTTAACGAATGATTTAGTTTTATTTTCTATATAGTCACTATGCTCTTGAGATTTTATCAAGGATTCGCTGATGGCCATATTTATGTTACTTGTAAGTTATTTTATTATTTTAAGCAAGCTATATCCTTGAGCGATTGCGTTAATCATTATCAAATTAAATGATAAGTATGTGTTTAATATACTTTAAGGCTATGCTATTGTATCAACTGAGTTTACTCAAAATAGAGGAGAAGCAATAGGATACTTAGAAGCAGGAATGGGATTGGGTTTAATGATGGGAGCTCCATTAGGATAAGCATTTTCAGTTTTAATGAGCTATCCGTTTATTTTCTTTGGGTCTGGAATACTCCTTATTTTACCACTTACCTTAACTGCATTTTTAATACCAAGAAGGGTCGAAAAATATTAAGAAGATAAAGTTATCAATAGAATGGATACTCAAATTGCATATGAGGTTTCTTATGGCGAGATATTAAAGAATACTAAAGTCTTGAATTCTTTGCTTTTTTCTATTATTGGAGGAGTAGTTATGATTTTCAATTAAATGCTAATTACAAATTAATTAGTAAAAATAGGTGTCTCACCATAATTAACAGGTAATTATTTTATTAAAAAAATTTAGGGTATATAATGGGGATTTCTGGACTGTCATTTTTCATTTTCAGCATCATTTGTGGAATTATGGTTGATAAGGTAGAAAATTATTATTTAGTTTAAGCATCTTTCATAACAAGTGCTTTATCATTATATCTTCAAGGATCTTCTAACATTTTGTGGACAACTCAGTAATTAATTTATCCAAATTACACCAATTTATAGATATTCTCTTGCACGAATGTTTATCGGAATGGTTCTTATGGATTTATCTATTTCGCTTCTATCAACTTCTTTGCTTCCAAATATTATAAAGGCAGTCGAAGAAAAAGAAAAAATAAGTGAGAATAATGACTAACTAATTGATAAAGCTTCAACACTCTACACTCTATAATTTACGATCATTTCTTTACTTGCACCTATGCTAGGCGGCTAATTAAGTGATAATTTTGGATATAACAAATCATGTGATTTGATGGGAATGACCTCAGCTTTCCTTGGCATTTTATATTTCGTAGTCAATATATTAATTAAGAATTTGAGAACTTGATATTTAGAATAAATTGATTAAACTAACAATCCAATTTCGATATTTAATTTAAGAATTTCGGGGTTTTGGGGTTTTGGGGAGATCGGAAGAGCACACGTCTG